AAACCCTAAAGCCCTAAACCCCCCTAGTTTAGGGTTCAGGGTTTGGGGCTTTGAAGGGGGAGACTTAGTCACTCATGGGTTTTCGTGCGGCATTTAGATCGGGTCTTGCAAGCTTTTGTTGTCTTTTCGGGCTTCGATGACTTACAGAGCATTTGGTTCTTGCCAGATTGGAATGTTAGGGTAACCAGACTTGCTATATGGTTGGCAGGGGTTTTTGACAGTTTGGGCCGCTGATGGCTGGAAGAAGCGACAAAAGGAAAGCTGAGCCATCAACCTCGACTGCAACCCCCCTTTGAATCTTGAGCTCTACCAGGAAACCGGTACACTTCGCATCGTTTAGGGCAGCTGCAAAACCCTTGCCCTAAGGGTCCATGTAACCAAACAGCATATGCTTTGGCCTTAAAGCAGGCACTACATAGGTACTTTGGGGCCAAAGTATACCCTAAACCCTAAACCCTAAACCCTGAACCCTAAACCCTAAACCCTGAACCCTACTTCTATTCGGGTACATGAACCCGAAAGGTTGCTAGAGAGTCTCGAACAAATCGAAACCCTAAAAACCTACAGGGCCCACAAAAGTTCGTGAAACCTCAAACTCAAAGCTTGGGTTTAACACAAATAACCTGTAAATTCCAGGGTCTCAGCCAACAAGATCGACTCCTGAAACTCGCGGATGTCGTGTTCCTCGTAGGGGATGCCTGCCCCAAGAGAGACGACAGCATCGTTCTTGAGTGCGTTTGTTGGCTGAGGATTAGGACGGTTTCGGTTTAGGTTGTCAGGGCTTACGTGGTTTAGGGTTATTGAGTTCAATGCTTTGTTTACCGGTTTCAGGGTCCAGGTATTTCGAAGGTTTATATAAAGTTTAAAGTTGCCTTAGCATGGCTTTTCTCCTGTTCAGGGCTTGAGGCTTGGGATTCAGCATTTAACGGGGCTGAAAATTGTTATTGTTCGAAGCCCCAAGGGTGCTTCAAGTGCCAAGCCCTAGAGACTTGCTGTTATTGGGGCCTGCTTCATGCACAAAACCCGACATTCGTCATATGTCCTCACATAGAACACAGAATGTTGGCATCGGGAAAGATCTCTGCAATAATCCAATTTGGAACAATCTGTTGATCCGCTGATTCCTTGCATTTCCCCGACAGATGCACGAAGACACGAAGATCACAAGACTCCTGCCCCAACACTCAGGGAGCCTCAAACGAACGCGTCACGACACTCTACTTGGAGGGTCGGGGGAATTAGTAAGTGGCTACTTCTATAGAGTTATAAGTACCATAACCCCAATTAGGATTCATTTAGGGCACTTATAACTCTACTTCTTGCCTCTTACTAAATCCTCCGACCCTCCACGTAGGATCCTCAAGCCCCAAACACTACCATAAAACACACACTCAACAAAGACGAATCCAGAGAACCAAACACCTTAGTATAACTTATGAAAATTTTTTCAAAAAAGCGAATCCAGAGAGCCAAACAGCTTTAGCTTAGCTTCTGAAATCTTGAACACATGAACCTCTACCCCTAAGGGTCCAAGTACCTAATAATCATATACTTCCCCAAATATCAACCTAGAAAACTACTATCCGCAACCAAAGTACCTTATTCTCGGGTCCTTTGGACCCTTAGGGTAAACCCCTAAACCCCTAAACCCTAGACCCTAAACCCTAAACCCTAAACCCTAAACCCCAAAGCCCGCAGACCCTAAGACCCTAAACCCTAAACCCTAAACCCTAAACCTAAACCCCTAAACCCT